GTCTAAATTGCCTGATCCGATAGTGAACTAGTGATGAATTCTTCCTCTTTAATGTTTCCGATACAGTTAACACAGTTTTATGATAGAATATTTATTTATGCAATTTTTCTTTCTGTTTGTCCTTGTGCCTCAATGGTATTCAGCGGTAGTCGGACTGTTCTACTCAATGACACTGACATGCCCCGAGGTTTGAGATTTGTCACCTCCACCACTCAACTTTGTTGCTTTGTTGTCCGGACCAATACCACGCGTATATGCTCCTTTTGCGGACCTGTAATCCAAGACAATACGTACCGGGGTTTACACTTCCGGTTCCCTTAGTCAAACGTTTATCCTTTGTAACTATGACGCTCACTATCCTACTTAAGCAATNAATTTCATGCAATTTGTGAAATATGAAAACGTGGCTGTGAAACGGAAGATAGAGAGGTTATGACTAAAGTGTTTGAGTGAAGAGAGAGAGAAACTCCTTAGACTTGTTTAACAATACATATACGATTTGACGGATCACAAAAAGTTAGTGTTTCCAAATAATGCTGCGCAGATCTGATCGACATTCACCTGACCTTTACGTACTAACCCGGGGCACTGCAGTCAGTATGACTGATTGTAGTCTTTTTCGATGATCAATGTGACATTCTCACTTCTGTTTTAACCTAACCGTAGTTGGTTGCAAACACCGGAGAGTATTTACAATCTTCCGGAGATCACGACTCGGATAGTGCATTATCCGATTGCCACGGTCCAATACTCGCCTCATTGTACGAGGCCACTTGTCGTTGGAAATGTTTGCTCATGGTTCATGTGGATTGGATCAGACAATTGGAGACACGTGGCACTGATGCATCGGGCACGAATACGGTGGTCGTTGTGCCTCTGCAGACCGAGACGTTGATTGATCAGCTGATTCGAGGCTTGCATCAGCTGGTAAGTTGGTCCAGGGGACCCGTGTTTGTTCCTCACTTCGAGTGTGTATGCGCGTGTGACCTCGTCTACCTTTTTCGATGTGACTCTATTGCAAAAAATCTGTTTGTTTTTTCTCCTGAACCTAATCGCCATAGTTCGCTGTGCAGCCAAGAATGACCCATTTGTCGTCTACATTGACACCGGTGTAGTGGAACTCTAACCGCAAATTATGCACACACACAGTTGGTAATGCTTTCCCACGGGCATTGTAGCAAATTTGTTTTTGTTTTCTGAATCACTGTGGTGAGGTTATACTGTTCGTCAATATCAAAGTCTCACTCTGCTGACTCTTCTTCTCAACTCACTATCGGTCGAACGGTGCTGCTCGGACTCGATCACTTTCAAGTGCAGTCAATTCCACAAGGTCCCATAACGCATTCCGATGTAACTCTGAAGGGAAGCAAAGCACATGCATTAGTTCAGCGGCTTCCGAGATAGTTTTGCCCGTTGCTTTCAAAACTTCTTGGGGCTTTGTGTGGCTTACCAAGTCCCGGGGCTTTGACTGCCGGTTTTCACCACTGAACGGTAGATCTTCGCGACCATGGGGTCCACCCCAGTGCTGTTCATCACCGTAGTCCATGTTCCAATCTCGTTCATCTACCAGTCCCGTCCCCCTCAGGCAAATAATCACATAAAAATAATGATGCAACACGTGAAGTAAATTGAGGTAAAGAAAAACTAGTAGTTAAAGTCCATCACCTCACACCGAAAATAGCCCAATTCTCGGAGTTTGGATTCTCTTAACCGTTCTTCGTTTATCATCTATGATCACTTCATCATCAGCTTTGATCAGCAATGCTCACTCCTTCCTTGTTCCCGTTTTTTTCACAGAAACCGTTTCTCGAAATTCAAAGCGCTTCGGATCTGACCAACCAACTTGCTGTGTGTTTGAGCATCACAGTGAATCAATTTCTATCCACGTAAGTGATTGGGTACCCACGAATTTCATATCCACGAATCGCATAGTGTGAGATCAACATTGTTCGTGATCCAGCGGTTTGAACTGCTGTCCCTGGCTTGTTGTGGGCTTCNCGAGTTTCGAACACCACTGTTCGACTTCAGTGATAAGCAGCTTCGTATCATCCTATTCAATACCACGCTTTAACTAGCAGGGTCTTATGCGGTTCACCATTCCAAGTCACGAGGTCTAGACTTCCGATTACTGTGACTGGACTGCAGGTCTTCGTGACTATGGAGTCCACCCCGTCAACCGTGCATCACACAAAACAGTGTGTAATAAAAATCGATGCACTGATTGTTAACAATTCGGTCATCGCACGGAGCATACTCATAACAAGTGGTGCTACTTAAAGCCAAGACTTATCAAAACTATTGACCTCCTATCGATCGACCTATGAACCAGTGGGGCATCTGGGGTGCTTTATGAATGTGCCACATTTCTTCACTTTCGCAATTGGGGTTTCCACAGAACAACTGCGAACGCTTCCCTCGATTGTTTTGACTTTAGTGAACGCCAAAATACTTCACTGACTGGGAACTGGTGAGCGATGATTGTCCGGTAAATGCAAAAAGAATTTTCCTCAGTT